TATAATAATTTTGCCATAATTATCATGTTTGCAAAATCTTCTAAAAATATCTATAAATAATATTCTTTAAAGCTAATATCTAATAAGATATAAAGAATTATTCATCCAATCAAATTGTGATATGAAGTGACCAATAAAATATAATTAACTAATTTTTACTAAAAGTTCATATCACAATAATATAGAAATACTAATAATAAAAGAAGAAAATAAAAATTAGATTTTTAATCTCATGATATTTATTTATTTATTTCTTAATTTTATATAAATCTTATTTAGTTATATATATATGTATATATGCTGATTTTTTATTAAAAATTTTGTTTTATAAATATAAAACTTTTACTTTAATATTTTTTTATTACTTTTTAATATTTTAATATTCTTATTATTTAACTTAATTTCTTATTAGTATTTTATTCTTTAAAGATGAATATTCTTCTTAATAATTTTAATTTTATTTAAAATATTCTTGCTCTTTATCAATAATTAAAAGATAATGAATTTAGTAGAATTCTACAAATTAATAAAGATTAATTAATATTTAAAAATACTAATCAAAAAGTTATTTATAATCTTATTATTAGATAATAACTTAATTTTAGTATAACTTTAGAAATATCTCAAGAATTAGAACTAATTATAGAAGAAATTCTAACTCAAATAGATAAATTACAAGATGAAATAAGAGTAAAATAATTTGTAAATATAATTAATACTGAAATATTAAGAATAGTAATTATAACAAATATTACTTATCAATTTTAATCTGATTAAAACTGAAAGATAAGAGTTCAGATAATATTTAATAATCTTTTTAAAAATTATAATAATTAATCTAATAAATTATAATTTATTAGATATTATTATTTTGAATAATTACTTAAAGAAATTCCAAGATAGTACTCATAAAAATTAATAAAACTACAAAGAGAACTAGTTTAATTTAAAGAAATAACTTTGATCAGAAGATATTTTCTTCTTGAAAAATGAATTTACTAGTTATTATCTAAATATAAACTTGAAAAGATTTATAACTTTTAATAAATTATTTATAATGATCTTGTATATATTAGAAATAATAAAATCAAAGAAATTCTAAAAAGAATTTAATCAGTTTTACTAGAGCTTAATTTTACTTAGAGAGATCAAATATTATTATAATAATATAAATTTCTTTAATTTTATAATTTTTTGAACTTGAAATTTTTGATCAATCAGTTGATTTTTGAAAAATATGTGATTTTAAATGATTTAATTAATATATTAATTATGAATTCAGTTATAATTTAGCAATATTTCAGCAATATTTTAGTAATATTTCAAGATTATTATTATATAAATAACTTAAAAGTTAATAATAGTTTATAAATAATTTATTAATAATTCAAAAATACTTTAAAAATAATTTAAAGATAAATCTTATTTATTTTTTATATTATCTTTTCTTTTTAGAATATTTATCTTATTTTTTCATTTTACTTTATTATTTATATTATTATTTAATTTATTACATATATTTTATCTTTTTATTTTATTTATTTATTTATTTATTGATTCTTTATTCCAAAACTTATAATTATATATTAAAATAGCAAATAAGTTATGAGTAGAGTTTAAATAAAATTTATAAAATCTTAAAGATATATAAATATTTTTACTCTCAAACATAAAATAAATATACTTGAATAATAATAATTCAATTATCTTTTAAAAATACTTGAGTTATATTTATCTTATAATTTTTCTTTAATTTTTGTCTTGATATCTTGCTTTCATTTATCTCTTCTATTATAATAGATTATATTCTGATTATTTACAAGTTTTCTTGCCTGAAAAACTTAGATAGTAAATACCTTCTACTTAAAATAAGTCAAATATATTTTATTGATTTAGGAGATTCTTGTAAGCTTTTCCACATATAAAAGCTTAGTTTGGTATTTGTTATCTTAGAATTAATATTCTTTGCTTTAGTTTTTATATTTATTATATTGATATTGGCATTTATTATCTTAAGTATTTGTTGCTTTAGTTTTTGATATTAACTCTTAGTTTATTTTTTGTGATTACAACTTCATTTTTATATTTTTGTTTTATTTTATTTTTGTCTTGTATTGATATAATATTCATAAGTATTAGTACTAGAAAATCTTTAGAATAATTATAATTCTTTTTACCTTTATAAATAATTCAGTCTTCACTCTCAAAACTTATTATAAATTATATTTGTGATAAAATCTATCTTTCAGAGTATAGTTTGTAATAATATTTATGATTAAAGTAAGAAAAAAAAGAAAAGTTAATAATAATTAATTAGAAAATTATTAATTTAATAAAACTATAAATTAAGTATGATATATATAGCTAAATTAATAAAAGAATAAGACTAAATATAGATAATAAGATAAATTAAAAATAAAATTAAAAATAAATTAAATTAATATAAATTTCTTATATACTTATTTTAGTAATAATTAATAATTGCATTATATGTTATAATTACATTATATATTATATCACTTCTATTATGTTATATAAATAAGTAATTAGTTATAATATTAATAAATATTCTAAATAATCTCTTAAAATTATTAATAACTTTTTTATTATTATTGATAGAATTATAATTCTAATAAAAGTTAATATAACAAAAACTTATATTTATAATTTGATTATAAAAATAAATTAATTAAATAAAATTAATTAATCTCAAGAAAAATATTATGATCTTTAATTAAAATAAAAAAGATAAAAAAATATTAATTAAATTTATTTATAAATAATAAAATACTTAACTAAAAGATAGTAATAATAAAAATTCTGAAATTTTCTCAAGTAAATTTATTAATAATAAGTTCAAGATTAAAAATCAAGACTTAAAAAATTATAATTTTTTTTATTAAATATCTGAAAAATCTTGAACTTAAATTTATATCATATTTAAATATAAACTTAATTCTAAAAGTAAAAAATATCAAGATTTTTAAAGAAGTTCAAATTAAAAATAATACCCTTATCTAAAAAGATTATTTTAAATTAGAAGAAAAATTTTAATAGACTTATTATTATAATTTACAATAAATTTTTGATTAGAGAGAATCTGCTACTAAATATTAATATTATTACAAATTATTAATTCTAAAACATAAATATCTATAGTATTATGATAACTTACTTATTTGGATAAATATAAAAATAAATATTCCAGATAATTTTTTAACAATTATATCTCAAAATTCTATTAGAAATTGGTGAATGAAAGTTAAATATCAACATAAATCAGATAAGATATCTATAATTGAAAAAAATTCTTTACTTAAAATAAAATTTTAAAGAAGTTAAAATTAGAAAATTAAGTAATTAAATATTCACATTATAAATATTTTGTGAATAATCTAATTATATCTAAGGCTTGAGATAAAAATAAAATTGACTGATAATATTATGAAATTTAGAACAATCTAGAGCAGCTTGCTTGTGTAATTTATATTGCAAATTGATAGTGATAATATTTAAAATATCTTTTTTTTTAAAAAAATTTTTATTTAGTAAAGTAATGCTTCATTTATTATTATATTAAAGTATAATAAAATAATCAAAATAGTATAAAGATTAATTAAAATTTGAATGATTTTTATTAGAAGCAATTATTAATTTTACCAATCTTTTTGCACCGGACCATATATACATGAATTAAATTTATATAACTACGGTCAACTCTTGATTTACCGAAAGGATTCGTTAAACCGTAAAATCGAGGAAACGTTAATTTGAACTGCGCCACATCGAAGAAAAAAAATCCAATTAGAAAATTTTGATCTATCGCGGGATTGAATCAAAATTATATTGCGTAATCAATTTTATCCAATCAGCGATTGATCTCCATTGTCCAAAATTCACGTCTAAAAATTTTTTTTTAAAATGAAAATATCAAATATCAGCCATGACAATAGTAAATTGGCGGACAAACTCTTTTAATACTAAGTAAGTGAAAAAAGATCCCTTTATATATGTAAAATTTCCAATCCTCTTATTATTTCAGGCATATAACTTGAATCATTACGAAAAATATAGTTTAACGCGACTTTTATCTTCAACTAAATTATTTGAAGGTTCAAAAAAGGTCGGGAAATCATTTTCTTAAGGAATAGATAATATTTCAAGCTGAGAATTTATTACTTAATCTACATTATTTTGCCAAATAAATAGCACTCTATTCAGTATATATGCTCACCGTGTCTTCACGCGTCATTAAAACAGAAATACAAATATGTTCGATCATATTCTATTCAGATGTCAAGGCAGAATAAATCGATAATAATAATAAAACACAAATTCAAATCCAATGATACACATAGTTATATGAACTTGTGTCGATCTTATACGACACCATCGAATTCTGTGGAAGCAACAACGCGTATTTTACCAATAAATGAAAATTCTGCACAGAATACCACTATTCCAATAATCCAATCTCAAGCAGCAGCAGCAGCAACAACACCACCATCACTAACACCAGTTGAAACATCTGCATCTTTGCTTGAAGTGGTCGATCCAGCGACGACGATAAACACAGTTTCTGATACTGCTATGAAAATTGGAGATTTAAAAGCACTTGGTCTAGTTCACTATACTCCGGTCGGTGCTGTTGAAGCTCTTTTAGAAGTGATTCATGTTTTAGCTCATTTGCCTTGGTGGGGTTCAATTGTCGCCACGACTCTACTTTTTCGTCTTTTATTATTTCCAATCGCGGTAAAATCTGCACAAAGAAATGCCAGATTAGCAAATTTGTCTCCTATAATTCAAAAGACAATGGAACAAATCAAAAGTGCACATCGAGCAAAAGATCAACAAACAGTTGCTGAGAAAACCTCGGAATTACAACGAATTTATAGAGCAAATGATGTTCATCCACTAAAAATGCTTGGATCTGGATTGATTCAAGCGCCAATTTTTATTAGTTTCTTTATGGCGTTAAGAGATATGTGTAATCTTCCTGTGCCAGGCTTCCGAGATGGTGGCATTGCATGGTTTACGGATTTGACCATGAAAGATCCATATTTCGTGCTGCCTCTTTTATCAAGTGTTGGATTTATAGCGATTATGGAGGTTTGATTATATAATCGATAACTCTTTAATTTTTCATTTTGATAAATGTTATCAATCATCTATTTATATTCTAGTATACTGCTCATAATAACAACCAAGTCAATCCAACGATGAAACATGTATTTCGAGGATTAGGAGTATTTTCATTTTTCATTACGGCTTCACTGCCTTCGGTTGGTTGAAACCTTACATCTCGAATTTAATGAATTATTCTAAGTTGTATTATAATTATTATTCATTTTTTCATCCTATAGGCTGTTGTACTGTATATTGCAACATCATCTTTTTTCTCTATGGGACAATTCGCATTATTAAATAAGAAATTTATGCGTCATAAATTTAAAATTCCTGATTTGATTAAGCAACCAACTCCAAAGATGCCGGAAAAATCTTTTATGGAACAAATGAGAGAGTTGTTCGCGGAGGAACAGCAAGCAAAAGAAGAAAATAATAATCGAAGGAAACGAAGACGTTCATGATAAGTATTAGGTTAGTAATTTTGGTTTCATAAAGTTTTCATCCTCGTTTAGCTGAGGTCCGTGCTAAGAAATCTCTTGTTTGTTGGTGGTATTAGATGCAGCAAGAACTGCTAAAGATATTACTTTTTTAATATTAATATCTCTCTTTATCTGAAAGGTAAATATAAATTTCTTAATTTTACTTATTAATAATACATCGCCATCGTGTTGCTCCATATTCTTTATTTATGAATAATGAAGTGTCAAAATTTATGGCGTAAATTGACATGGAACATCCTAGTCACCCGTTCTATAACATATTTTTCTCTTACCAGAAATGCATGTGTTAATGGAGGGTCGGTAGTCCCAACATCTTCATATATAAATATATTATTTACTAATTTCTTAATAATATTCGTGAATTAACAATAGGTTGTTAAAGATATATTTAATATAAACCGCGAATTTCTATTGTGAAAATAATAAAATTTCATTGATTTAAATATTGTAATGTTTCCACATCAAGTACTGCGTCACTAATGAATGATCATCATTTCCAAATAAGAAAAAAAATTTGCAAGATCAATGTGTTCCAACAAAAAATGTTCTTGCTATATAAATAGGCGCGCATGTTGACTCTCGAAATACTATTATATTTAGAAATCACGTGAACGGGATGTTTTTCGCCATGACTACTTTGATCGATAATATGCCATCATGTGATCATCCAATATAGGATCCGTATTCTCAATTAACTTGGAGGCTATTTATAAATCATCCAGCTCTTGAACTTTCCTCTTATCAGTAGTTTTGTAGTAATTTCAGCATGCGTGGTAGTAATCTTCAAGTGTTCGCAAGCTACCATCAATAAAGCTTGTATGAGAAAAACATCTTCCATTAGAGGATTCACAATCCTATCTCAATAAGCATACTTTGACAAATTACCATTGTAAAGCGGATTTACTGGTAATTGAAAGCCAGTACACTATAAAATAGAATTACTTAATATTGATTGTATCCACGGCAAGGCCATTCATTAACCAGTTATAATGTTGATTTGAATAAAATTGCCATTGTTCTTTATGAGAATCCTATTGCTAATCGTAGTGCGTATAATTTCATTCTAGCTTTAATTCTCGTTCCCTTAATCTACTTTAACAATTCAAGAATTAGTAGATGACTTCATAATTTTCACGGTGTGAGCATGCGATTCTATATATGATAAATCAACTAACATTGGTCCAATTTATTTTCTAGCTTTTCCACACAGTTTACTTTCATTCCATATGTCAAAGATATCATCTAAGGTAAAAAAGCGCGATTTTCATAACATTTTGATAGTCAAACCTCCTCTCCCTCCACCTGTTCAGTTGATTGGCTGAGAAGTTTTTGTTTGATTTCGGCTCCCTCCTTAAAAGATCACGTCATTAAATGACACTCTCCCTAATCAGCGACTAAAGCGGGGCGCCATACTATATCATGTGTTATTATATTGAAACGAAACTAGGATGATTATAATTTTGTGAAATGAATCTACAGTATATATATATATATATATATATATATATTGCTGAAACTAAGATGACGAGCGGGGAGTTCTCTCTTGAAAAATGTCGAGAAGTCTTCATTTTGTTGAAATATTTTTTATTATATTTTTTGTGACCTCTGCTGTATATGGAAAAAGTAAGGATTTATACACGTATATGTATAATTTTGATGATTTTTAAATGAATGTTAAATAATTGTAAATAGAATATCGTCAACCACAACCTTTATGCGTGGGTCATCGCGGGTATCCCGTTGAATATCCCGAAAACACTATTCTCTCTCTTCGTCAAGCTCTTTTATTAGGCGCCGATGCGCTAGAATCTGATGTTCGTTTAACATCCGATGGACAGGTAATAATGTTGCATGATCTGCAATTGGAGACAACCACAAATGGAACTGGATTAGTAAGTGAGCGTAAATGGTATGGATATATTGAATATCTAAGAACGACAAAAGGAGGACAACCGATTCCTAGATTTCAAGATGTGCTGGAATTATTGAAGAAAGAGAATCGAGGTGTCTTTGTGTTAGTCGATATTAAGGTATATAACATATTCGAATAGCCCATATAAGGACTTTGTTTATTCTAAATATTTTCTCCTCTGGAATAAACATCAAAATAGGATGATAATCCACTCGAAATAATTCCTGCACTTGCGGAAATAATAAACTCTTATTCGCCATATGATTTTTCGTCACAACTTTATTTTGGTCTCTGGGATATCGCATTTCTCCCAATCACTCGGAAACATCTTCCTAACATTCCAATTTCACATATCGGAAGTGATCTTGAAATTGCTCGACGCGACTGGTTCGATCAAGTGGAAAATTATAACTTAGAGTATGAATTTGTCAAAAAAGATAATACAGGCTTCGTAAATGATCTAAAGAAAAAAGGTCGAAGCTTATTCGTTTGGACCGTTAACGAGGAAGAAGATATAATCGATACATTTCAAGTTCACAGAAAAATAGACGCGGTATTAACTGATCACGTGGATTTATGCTTGAAGATCAGGAATAGAAATCAGAAATGGAGAATGAACGTTCAGAAGAACGAGATTGTTGTGCATTTTAGAAATTTCAAATGGAAATTTTGAATTTTCATGTATAATCAATATTATATAAAAACGTGCTTGCCGGGAACTCGTCTAGAGCCTTGCAATTAATTATCGTACGAAATTTATCAATTGTAGTATGCTGTGTAAATTTTTACGGTACATTCGCTTGCTTTGCATTCCGCATAAAATGCGCAAACTTTCTCAAAAAGGGTTTGTAAAGCACGAAAGAATACATGTATAATTAATTACATATTTTGATGATTTTTGTACAGATGAGGATTAATGCAAGAAGTTCGTTCATGTGTTTCACGTGGAATAAAATTCTATCTAATATTAAATGGTATATAATACAATAATAAATAAAAAATAAATCAAACCTACGACATAAAGAAAAATTTAAGTCTATATTACACCATTGTCCATGTCCTTATTTCATTCCATCATCAACATCACTTCCCCTTTATTCATCCTCCTCATCAGTGAGCAAAGGAATTTCACTATTATTATGCGCAGTATGACCAGGATTATCGAAATCCTCACTATCAATACCACTTGATGAATAGTCCACGCGATGATGATGTTTAATATTAGCTTCATTACCACTATTTATATGGTTAGTGTCATTAATAATATCGTTATTAAAATGATTATTAGAATTTTGTTGAACGTCAAAAGTTTGTATTCTTTGATTTGTTGATGATGATTGTAACCTCAATGATGTTGTTGACGGAGCAGCTGGAATAATTGTTCTTTTTACTGCTAATTCTAATGCTGATGCTGATGCTATAGATGATGATGATGATGATGATGATGATTGATTATTATTATTTTGCGATATTGATGCAGAAGAAGACTCTCGTCTTAAGGATGAAAAAGTGTGTGATGGTACTTGCAAATGAATATTGTTGGTGTTGTCATGATTTTGAGATGATTGTTGATGACCATTAGATGTAATTACGCTCTCCAACTGAGTTCCGTTCTCATTATTCTCGTTCACTTTTAATTGATACGGAGGAGGTAATCCCTCATCACTCGACAGAGCACTACCATAAGTAGGTGGAGGAACTTGCACAACAGATACTCGCAAATCATGGTACATGTCTTCTTCATCTTCTCGTGCACTACGATTAGATGCGATACGCCTTAATCTTTCACGAAAGTTGGCGAATCGATAATTTGCAAACGTTGGATAAGAGTTTGAGGTGCCTGTAGAAAGATTTGTCGTGGATTGTGGGGCTGGTCGAGCATTACTGAAGGGAGGAGGACTGATGCGATCACCGTAACAATTCATGCGAACCAGTAACTTTATTTTTATAAAAGGATATTAGGTGAGGTATTTACTTTAAAGATTTCAAATTTAATCACTGATATGATCTCACCTCCACCCCTTTTGCCCCCCTTAATGACTTACCCAATAAATTAAATAAGAGAAACCGACCATCAGATAAATAATGATAATTTGATTAACCGATGGTTTCTTTTTAATCGAGTGATATAGAGGAAGAACTATCACCAAAACGGCAAATAATACAAAATATGCTCGAGTGACATATTTATGAAAGGGTGGATACGCGGCCATTATCTTCAAATTTGTAATCTACTTATTATTAAAATGTGATATATAGATATATAGTTTTTCGTGTTATGATATTCATTCAGACGTTGTAGAACAATAACTCACCTTGCCTCACCACTATTATTATCATCTATAGATAGATCTTGGTTTTATATAACTTTCGAGTTTTCTCTGCGTCAAATTCCGACAAGTTCAAAAATATTCCCCGAACAATAATAAAAACAAATATCTGTGACTCCAGCACAGATGTGTAGTGTAGGTAATATATACCTTTATCACATAGATTAAAAGTGTTAACGTTTTATAGCAATATATTTTCTAGAAATATTGTTGTTCGATTATTTGAAGCATGAATTGTATCACATTGCCGGACATTGTGTTCCCCGATTCTCGTGACGTTTTTGGGGTAATTGAAAACGCGAACTATATGCCTATCTACGATTGATACAATTACACTGCTAGATATGATATGTTGTTCATTTTTCAAGAAAGCAATGAATCTTTCAAATAATGATTTTTTGTCGGATGCTGCCGCAAGTTATGGCAGTATCATTATGCCGTCTTCTTTGAGATATATCGCGATTGATCTCCAATGCTTTATCATACCACAAAGAAATAATTCTTTCAAATGAGTTTTGTATAAAAATTTATTAGATAATGTATACATATTCAAGGTCACATCCAAGTAATAGTCATCATCATCGCTAAATTATAATTTCTAAATGTTTTATAATTATAAATTCACTCAAGCTCCAACAGATATTATTTATTATTAATGAAAAACCAACTTTCAAATAGATACTAAATATAATAAAAGGGTAATATTGCGAGAGAAATCATTAAAATGGGGGAGGTGAGGGTAATAGTTTGTATGATTGAATAAAAAAAACTTTACAATATATATATAATTCGACATTCTAATGAAAAATGTTGATTCTATTAATATAAACTCTATTATTAGGCAAAGTTTTTTATGGCAAGTTCATAGTGAAATATTCTATTAAGACTTACTAGTTGGAGGCGTCATCTTTATCACCTGGAAGGTGTTGACCAGTATTCATCGCGTGTTGTTTAAGTACAGTTACGGCTTCATTGACCTAAAGAAAAAAGTGTGTTAGAATTATTTTTAAATAACTTATGCTGTTGACAATATATCGAACTTCATACCTTGTTATCAAGAGCTTCAGGACTTTCGAGTAAATGAAGCAATTCTCCGTTATCCATTTCCAACAGCATTCCTGTAATTTTTCCGGCAAGCTCAGGTTGCTGGGGAGAAATTTTAAAGAAGAGCTGCTCGCCAAGCATTTGTTTCTGTTGTTCTGGTTGAGCTGCGGCCAAAGCAGCGGCAGTCAAAGCTGGAGGATTAGTGGTGGTTGATTGGCCAGGCAGACCAGTAGGTCCGTTATTTCTGACATTAGCGTTGAATTTATAATGACCTCGACCAACGCCAGAAATATTATTACGTGGATTAGGACTGGTGCTTTGTTGTTGTGAAGCCGGTGATGGTGGTTGTTGCTGAGTCGTCGTTGTATTTTGAGGACGAGTTGATTGTTGATTTGCACCCCCACGAGCGAGGCCAGGTTGACGTTGATTTCTTCCTCCGCGTCCAGCGTTAGTACTGCTTTGGATATTCATTGCGGGTGGTACATAGGGAGGTTGCTGTGCTGGATTGAACCATCGACTACGAGGACCAGCAGTTGGGACTATTCCTGGTTGAGGTGAAAATACGACACCACCCCGTTGATTAGTTGTTGCATAGAAAGCTGGCTGTGGGAAAATGTTTGGGAGATATCCACTTGGACCCGCTGGAATGCCCGCAGCCTATAAGAACGAAGGAAATGATATTTATTAATTTATACGAATGGTGTAAATCAAATATTAATTTATTGATATGTTACTTGTTGTATACGAAGTTGGTTTCTTTGATTAATTTGTGCCTCCAATTGCGATTTTCTTACGTCTTTACGTTGAGCCTCAGCGACATAAATTGGCTTGGTGCCAATCATTCGACCATTCATTTCATTTATAGCCTTTGTTGCCTCGTCTGGCGTCGTGAAGCATACGAATCCAAATCCTTTCGACTGACCTTTGTCATCTCGCATGACTTTTGCGCTGGTGATTACTCCATATACAGAGAACTCTTGGCGCAATTTTTCATCATCGATATCGTCTTCAAGATTTTTAATGTACAAGTTTACGCCTTTATATTTACTCAATTTTTCCAACTTGGCTTGTTCATACTGGCGTCTCAATTCTTCTTCGCGCTCGTGTTTCTTTTGTGCTCGAGCGACGAATAATTTCTTTCCTTTTAATTCGGTATCATGCAGATCGCTAACAGCTTGATTGGCTTCTTCGTGATTTTCGTAGTTTACAAATCCAAATCCTTTAGAATTGCCGTTTTCATCCGTTGCGATCACGGCCGAAGTAATTTTCCCATAACGTTCAAAGAGTTCTGTGAACTCCTCGAGGGTAACTTCGGTATCGAGGTTTTTAACATATATATTGGTAAACTTCGCCTTAATCTCTTCGAGTTTAGATTGGCGTTCTTTCTTTGGGATGTGATGACCGACGTAGCTATTTGTTTATTAGTCAGAGAACGAAATGATGGATTATGCAATCAGATTTAAGTCTAAAAATTGGTAATCCGCAAGAAAACAGTTGAATGCTATAAGCTTACACTATCTTATCGTTCAACAACATGCCATTCACATTTTTAATGGCATGTTCAGCAGCTTCCGCTGTTTCGTAATGAACAAACCCATAGCCTTTTGAGGTGCCATCTTCCATCGCAACCTTGCAGCTGAGAATTTTCCCAAATGCAGAGAAGGTGTCGTGGAGGGCCTTGTTGTCAATCATTTTATCGAGATTTTTTATAAAGATGTTGCCAGTACCAGTTTTACGTAGTGCAGGGTCCCTTTGAGACCACATAATCCGACAGGGCTTGTTTTTAATCAATGAATAATTTAAGGTTTCGAGGGCTCTCTCGCCTATTTTGAAGGATCAATCAGATGAAGTCAATAAATTGATTGAATAAGAGGACATTATGTTTTATATTCAAAAAAAATTTCACTCCATTAAGGTTTGCAAGAGCAATGATTTCGGGTAAGAAATTCTATCAGAAATAGCTTATAGTTTTTTGATTTATCAATATTTGAAAGATCAGTTAAAATCGGTGAAATATCGTAATAATGGAGTCTCAATAAAAATTGATTATTGAAATATTGGTAAATCTTCATGTTGTGAGTCAAGTAAACCGATCAGACTCCTCAAAATGAACATATAAGGTGGGAGTGTGAGAGATCGATACTTACCATCAAGTACATTGTGAAAGTTAACGTAGGCATAGCCAAGTGACCTTCTAGTGACGGCATCGCGACATACACGGATGCTTGCGACAGGGCCAACCATATTAAACATTTCAAAAAGCATAGCCTCAGTTACGGATGGATCCAGCTCACCGACGTAAAGTGAGGCAGAAGCTTGCGGTGCAGCAGGAGGCGCACCGAATTGAGCTTGAGCGGCATGAGCTTGGGCGGCAGCGATTTGTTGTTGTTGTTGCTCTACAGAAAGTTGAGCACCAGCGGTTGAATTGGAAGGCTGTACAGCCGTTGAGGTAGCGGTAACTGCAGCCGACATTTTTTAAAATACGATTAAAATATTTGGAAAATTAGGCCGTAGTCGTTTTTAATGGAGGTTTTTTTTTTGTTTTTAAAAAAAAACTGAAATGAGTGGAGGTTTTTTTAAATGGGAGATATAAATCAATAATATATAATAAGGGGAGAGGTGACAGAAATTTTATTATTTGTTGGTTTTTCGTATTTTTTTTATATTTTTTTAATTGTTGGAACAAGAGTGTTGGGTTTAAAGAAGAGGTTTAAAGGACAGAGAACTGACAGAAAGGAAATTGGGTATGCGTAAGTTTTTCTCTCTTTAAAATGTAATTGGTTTAATCATTGTTTCCTAATTGGTTGGCTATTTTTGGCGTGAATAAATATTTATGCGCATTGGAATTATGAAATGGTGGGCAGCATTAACTGCACAGTAAAATACACAAAACCTAATGTAATGGCAGGCGAGATCTGCTTTTGGTGGTGATTTTTATTGGTGTAAAGTATATTTCGCAAATCTTTTGATGTGTGTTTAATTTTAATAAGTAAAACATTAAGTTAGTCAGTGCGTTGTTATTCTCGTTAAGGATTAGGTTTTGATGTGTAGATGACGGTGATTATTTATTACTATTATATTGATGAAAATCATAATAATCGGAATGAATGAATGAATGAGTGAATGAGTGAAAAATTAATTGAGCATCAATTTTAATTGGTTCATTTTCACATTACATTATACTCGAATATTAAATAAAGTGGTGCCTAATTACGTATTAACAATTGAGAGATTTGAGAACCTTATTCTGCGAAGGGAAGACATTTTGCTGCATCTGAATAATTATTATTTGTAAAATTGTCATGTAATAATAATGAAGTCAGCAAAGATAATGTTAATTCTTGATTTGCATCATTTTGAGATACAGTTGTGACTCGTCATATTACTTTGTGTATGTATTTTGTATACACAGAAAAAATACACCAATCAAAACTTTACATATAGTAATTTCTTTTTTAAAATTACTTATTTTATATCGATATGGGCAACAAAACGAATATAAAAATTTTAGGGGTCAAATTTGGCCAGACGCCACAAAGTAACTCATAATAGTAACTCCAATAATAACTCTCCGATAGTAATAGTGTGATGTTGCTCAATACATGTATAATATAGAAATAAACTTTATTTTTTTTAGCCTGTTCTCTGAAAAATGATTAAAAATTTGCAAATTTTAAGTCAAAATTATTTAAATAGAATTAAACAAAATAGATAATCATATATATTATTTATACTCAAATTTTATAGAAATCCTATTACTTTTATATATATATATATATATATAAAACTTTCCTAATAAAAAAGTAAATATTTTATATATTAGAGATTTAAAATTAAATTAAAATGAAAATTTTTTGATTTCAAAACAAAAAATGAATTTATTTATCTTCAATAAAAAAAATTGATATATAAAAAATATAAGTTAATAATTACTTTTAATAAAAGTTTTGTAAATATAACTAATACTTATAAATTTTATATTAAATATATTTAAATATATCTTTTTTAATATTTCTTATATTTTGATTTAATAATAAATAAAATACAAACTTTTTACTTTTAAAAAAATGATTTTTAGATATTATAGTCAAATCTTTTTATAATTATTGCACTTGAGAAAATAAATTAGATGATTATAAAGAAATATAACTATAGAGAGATTTTATAATTATAATTAATTTATAATTATAAAAAGATCTTATTATATTATTATAAATTTGTAATTTTATGAAGCAAGTTATATTATTAAACATATAATAAATATATATTTCAAATTTTAACAAAAATAAATTAGTAGTTATAAAAAAATTAATTATTAAAATTAAAAATATAAATAATTTTTTATATAAAATTTATAAAAATTATTATTATAAATAAAAAATAAAAAAATTATTATAATTATATACAGTGGTGACCAAAAGTAATGACTTAGAGATTAAATTTACTAATAAAACATAGTGAAAATTGAAATTTTCTCTCTATATTAAAATTTATAATCTTAATAAGAAATAATTTTTATTTTTATATTAAAATAAAGTTTATCAGTTGTAGTTTAACATATATTTTTTTCAGATT